AATTACATTGCACATTGATGAGGTGACTCAACAAGAGAGTTGACATGCATGCACTGATTCACTTTCAGCCCTAATATCGCTAAACCATCCAAATAAAAGAACACGTCACGGCAAAGAACCAAACCACTGAACATCTTGTTACAATGATTATTTATTAAATTTAAAATATCTTTAGCACAGATTAAAAATCAGACACCTCCAACTATCATGGTTGTCATGAATTGAAAATAAACATTCCTAAAAAACAGTCCCTCTTCCTCCATTGGATCCATGATCTCCTTCATAGAATAGTCTCTGGTTTGGTTATAAATGTACAGGTCATTGCATAGGGCTGAGGCAACTAACCACAATACTCTTGGGATTCGCTGAAGTCAATCACTGCATGGCCATAAAATAAAATAGAGCAAGATGCATGATATGTACCGAAAAAGTGCTAAAATAAAAGACATTTGCCTTTTGTTTGGTTGTTACAGTCAGGAAACCAGGACACACTTTGTAACAGACAAAAACATACCAATAAAATACACATAATTATTTGTTATTTATGTTCTGTGAGTATATGAAGTTTGGTTTTGAAATGTAGGGCCATGGTTCAAAATCCAGACAATTAACATTGAACATCCTCCCTCCCCAATATCATGCAGATATTGTGTTTGCCTCAACCCTCTCACAAAAATGTCTGAAGGATAACAAGGAACATGGGAAAAAACACTGTGGAATGACAGCCATAGATATAATTGCTTATACCAAAAACAAGGTAAAATAAAATAAAAATCACTAATCTGTTCATGAGATCATGTCTATTTGACCAATCGTTTTATGATGTTCCTTTTTCTCAATTCAGTTATTCTTTTTTTAGCACATGCCATATGCGTTTTTGATTATAAAAGTACCTGAAACAATTGCTAGAGTGTCAGCATGCATAGCTGTTCGATATTTACAGATGTATGTACAACACCGAAGAACTGACAGCGGAGGTGGACAGATCTGTCACGACGACATGAGCCCAATGACGGGAAAATATACACCATTTTTCTTAACCTTTTACATGCAGCAATGACAGAAAATTAAACACAACCTTTCTAGAAACAAAGGGATATTACTCTTACTCAGTAAGGTCATCACTTGCATTTTCAAGTGATTTTCTCTGCTGATTTAGCTGATCGGCCCAAAAGGGCCATCAGGGTCGAGTGCCAGGAGGTTCAGCATAACGGCAATAAGATCCATGTTCTCTTATTCAGTCTGACAATCCAATCTCACCATCTCCCTCAGCTAAATACACCAAAGCAGGAGGCTCATGGTTAGAATCGCTATTATTGTCCCGCTGCTAACGGATAAAGGAAATGGTGTTCCAGTCTAGAGCCTCAATGGATCAATCGCAGATCTATATTTAGTGAGGATGCATCTGAGAAAGCTTGATGGGAGTGTATTCAACGTTCAAAGTTCTAATAAAGCACATGTACTAAACCCCAACTGAACAATCGAGTCGACTGTATGGCAAGCATATCTGAGTTAAGCTGTAATTTAGATGGCGATTACTGTAATAAAGTAGCCTAAGCTAACTGCTATTTCTGCATTAGCCCCATTCAGTTGGCGCAGCTCTAATATGGGGCTGCTGGGATTTAACCATGTGTTCTCCCTGCTTCTCACATCCGCCAGGAAGACTAGGCAGGCTTTGGAAATGGGCTAAAGCGCATTTGGAAGAGGGTTCGGATTCATTTCAGCCCATTGTTTGGCTAAGGGACAGCAGCACGCTAGCCAGTGCTGAAATCACACTCTACATCCATTAGCGCTGGTAATCTCAGTCACGCTAGTCTTCACAGTGCGTCATTACAGAAGGCATTAGCAGCACCAAGTGGCGGCTGCAATGGAGCATGTGCGCTCGTGAGTGTATTAGCGTTAACTTTGAGCTGGTGGGTACTGTATTCTAATCAAGGTGAGGTGACAAGAAGGACACATGAATAGGAATCTGCTGAAAAATGCGTTTTGATGGTTGTTAGATACCAAACTGGTTTTCAGTGGTCAGACTGATCTGATTTGCTGGTTTTGGGTACTTCTCAGCTGGTTAGGAGAACAGGAGAACAGATGGCCAACCAGTTAAACACCAGCCTGGTCAGGATACAAGATCAGTTGAACTACCTCAGGCTGGTTTAAATAAAAATATTGAGTCTAGCGTTAGCATACATGCTTAAAACACACACGTGACCATAAAGGTATAAAATATTGGGACATTATGAAAATCAATACTTGCAGACCATTTATATGGTTTCTAAACCTTTATTCTGGGTTTGGATTTCAGAGCACATTTGTTAGTCCTAATGAGCTAATCGAAAGCCAAGAGGCATTTTGGGCAATTTGCTCAGTCTAGCGGATTTTCCTATTAGAAGCTCACCTTAATAAACAGGTAAATAATGCTACCACTTTTTTTTGGTGCATATGACAACATTAAATGTAATTACAAGAGCAGTGAATCCATAAAGGGCATCTTTGCATATTGACTCACTGTGTTGGGTTCGCTAGAGGGGTTGACTGACATTTTCCATCCTTTTATATTCCCAGCTTCAAATATGTATTAACTTATCACTGCAAAAGCAGGTAAGACTCCAGAAAGATCCATCCTTTTGATGTCATGTTTATTGCCATGCTAACCAAAGCAACATGCAGCATCTGTGTACTTCAAAAGACACTCGGTCCGACACACGCAGATACAGAAAAACACACAAACTGGAGTTAAATGGGGATGAGCGCGTGAAGTTCGCTCGCTGAATTTCTGACTACAGCCTTTGCTTTCTTCCTGCGAGTTTGTGTGTGCGTGTGTATCTAACAAGCGTTCTGTCACAGTCTTTGCCAGCTTGAGCTACAGCTGTTGATTTGGCTCCTTAAATGAGCCAAAGTCTTTGTACTGTTGCGACGCGTGTGTATTTGCGTCTGTTTAAAGAGTTGGCCGTCGGTGCACGTTCCTGTAAACGTCTGCCAGACGATCTCCTTAATGTTGCCCTGCACTTTTTTCAGATCTGAGACGCTCCTGCACTATTTGAAGATAAAGCGGCCATCTATTTCATGTGCATCTCACAGAAGTTAACTTCCTGCAGGAGTCACGTGTGAAGTAGCGCAGGACGGTTTCTTCTGTGAGAGGAGGGACATAAAAGACGAGTCTGGAAACATTTGAACTGCACGTCAACTCTAATTCTGTCTGACATGTTTTTCTTTTCCTCTGAATCTTCATCGCTCTTTCCCCAAGACAGTTAAAACCCCGGGATAACTAACCGTCCCTGACAATTAGCTGCTTATCGGTCATGCGGAAAAGTGCAGAGCATCTGTAAGACGTGAAGAGTCATTTGTTTTTGTGTAAACAATCAAACCCGAGGGCATGAACAAAATAAACACAAAAGAGGCATGACTGGGGGCGTACATGTTGCAAATCGGACCCAAATGAGTGGTTTTGATATTTCACGAGTACTTCATTAATGTGAGGGGGTGAGGGTGGAATTGCTAGGCTGACCTTTGAACCTTGGCTGAACACTATGATACCACTATGATCTTAAACTAGTTATATGATAGATGTTGAAGCTGAAGGGTGTAATATATATTTTTCTCTCAGATTTGAGGGGGGGCCAGCATCTCAACTTTTGACTCAACCAATGGTGTGACATTGAAGACTAACTATTTTTCGAACAGTGGAAGAATGGAGGACTGTTTTCCGCAATTTCACTTGTAGCTGCTAGTTTGGGTTAGGGTTACAACTTGACCTTCACCTTTACATCTTAAAAAAAGTAATTCCAGTAATTGCTTCCTGTCTTGAAAGGGGTTCACACTGAAAACGATTAAGTCGCTGGAGATTGCCAAAGTCCTATTAGCAACTGCAGTGTCCATCTGTATTAGATGGGGGATTGTGTATCTGCATTCCCATTTGTGGTCACCTAATTTGAACTCGCCAATTAGGTCTTTGTCGGTCTTGTCTCCTCAAATCGACCACTCTCATTGAAAACGACTGACTTCCAGTTGCTTGGCTGCTTCAAATCGCTGTCAGTGTGAATGGCCCTTTAGAGCTTTACATGGGGCCTGACCATTTATGCATGCATTACAGAGCATACTGGGATTTGTGGTATACGTCTCCAAACTGTCTTTAGTACCCTTCCATTGGATAGCTTTGTGCTGGATCCCTTTTTTAGGATTTAAATTTGTGTTTGTGTGTGTACGTGTAGACGCCTTCTCCAGCAATGACAGAAAGTCCCCATTGACTGGGTGACATCCAGAAATCCCTTTGACATGAGATGAATGGACAGTTTTGGTAGGCTGCCCCACAGTCTTTGCAAGACTTCCCCAAAGCACGTCTTCTCTGCTATGTACAGTATCTACAACTATACTGTTTTTGTGTGTGTGTTGATCATTGTCTGTGATTCTTGGCAGGCGTACAAGAGATATACAATAAACCTGCCAATTGAGCACTTCTCAGTTCCAGTTTCTGAGATATTTTATCCTGTTTTTCCTACTTACAGAGCAGATAACATGTCATTGCTATTGTAGTAGGTTGGTTTTTCTGCTAACCCTTGAACCCTAGAGAGGATACAGCATTCAGACATCATGAGGTTTGAGTCCACCTTAAAAGCTTTTATAGAACTTGCCAGAATTGAACACTTCCACTATAAACCAGCTCATCTCGGTGGTTCCTAGACTAGTATTTGGCAGGTACCTATATGAAAGCATGCAGATTGTTGACAGCCATATGTCCGATGTACAAGTACAACAGGAACTCCATTTGAACAGGTTCACAGTCTGTCCCATGGTGTCTTTTAACAGGCTGTGAATCACTTCCCCCATCTCATGATCAGTTTTAGGGGAGAAAAAGCAAGTCTCGGATGGTTAGAGGTGTCTTTGGTATTGCCCCGACCCTTTGAAGAGGGTCACCCAGTTCTTCAGGCTCCATACAAGAACAACAGTATTTATTTTTGCTCACATTGCTTCAGTTTATTCTGATATTTTCATTTTTGTTTCCACAGCAACAGGGAGCGGCCACTACAGTCTACTGCGCCGTGGCTCCAGAGCTGGAGGGTATCGGAGGGATGTACTTCAACAACTGCTTCCGTTGCTTGCCTTCTCTGCAGGCCCAGGACCCCACGGCAGCCGTCAGCCTGTGGGAACTCAGCGAGAGGCTCATCCAGGAGAGATCCACCCCCCCTCAGGTGCTCTGACCCCTCCTGGCCCCGTGATCCCAGTAGGGTCACCTACATGAATGTCACAGCTACATGGAGGATTCAGGCATAAGATAATCATTGTTTAAAGGGGCAAAAAAGATGAGAAGATGCAATTCTAAACTGTACAAGGACGTTGGCAATCAAGCTTGGAAGTTATCTGGGAATCGTGAACTAGAACCACACAGACTGGGACTTCTGCAGCAGATAAAGAGATGCAGAGAGACAGCGAGAGATGCAATTCAATTGTGTTTCTCTCGTTCTCAAAGGCGTAGTCACTCAATCCGGCATTAGGGTTTAACTAGGTCTAGATCACTCTATAAATGTCTCCTTAACAAGCAATAACATTTGAGTTGTCTTTAGAGGGGGTCTATATGGTTTAAATGGATGTGTACAGAATACAAATACTCTGAGATCAATGTCAACCTTTACGTCTGTACAGATAAAAATGTTGAATAAATGTTGTAACGGCGTAACCGACAAAGACAATGCAGGAAATGTACAATTTGTGAACTATTTACAAACATGGTGTCTTCACATTGCTAAGAATAAGCCTGTAAAGAGGCATGACTGGGGGCGTACATGTTGCAAATCGGACCCAAATGAGTGGTTTTGATATTTCACGAGTACTTCATTAATGTGAGGGGGTGAGGGTGGAATTGCTAGGCTGACCTTTGAACCTTGGCTGAACACTATGATACCACTATGATCTTAAACTAGTTATATGATAGATGTTGAAGCTGAAGGGTGTAATATATATTTTTCTCTCAGATTTGAGGGGGGGCCAGCATCTCAACTTTTGACTCAACCAATGGTGTGACATTGAAGACTAACTATTTTTCGAACAGTGGAAGAATGGAGGACTGTTTTCCGCAATTTCACTTGTAGCTGCTAGTTTGGGTTAGGGTTACAACTTGACCTTCACCTTTACATCTTAAAAAAAGTAATTCCAGTAATTGCTTCCTGTCTTGAAAGGGGTTCACACTGAAAACGATTAAGTCGCTGGAGATTGCCAAAGTCCTATTAGCAACTGCAGTGTCCATCTGTATTAGATGGGGGATTGTGTATCTGCATTCCCATTTGTGGTCACCTAATTTGAACTCGCCAATTAGGTCTTTGTCGGTCTTGTCTCCTCAAATCGACCACTCTCATTGAAAACGACTGACTTCCAGTTGCTTGGCTGCTTCAAATCGCTGTCAGTGTGAATGGCCCTTTAGAGCTTTACATGGGGCCTGACCATTTATGCATGCATTACAGAGCATACTGGGATTTGTGGTATACGTCTCCAAACTGTCTTTAGTACCCTTCCATTGGATAGCTTTGTGCTGGATCCCTTTTTTAGGATTTAAATTTGTGTTTGTGTTTGTACGTGTAGACGCCTTCTCCAGCAATGACAGAAAGTCCCCATTGACTGGGTGACATCCAGAAATCCCTTTGACATGAGATGAATGGACAGTTTTGGCAGGCTGCCCCACAGTCGTCTTTGCAAGACTTCCCCAAAGCACGTCTTCTCTGCTATGTACAGTATCTACAACTATACTGTTTTTGTGTGTGTGTTGATCATTGTCTGTGATTCTTGGCAGGCGTACAAGAGATATACAATAAACCTGCCAATTGAGCACTTCTCAGTTCCAGTTTCTGAGATATTTTATCCTGTTTTTCCTACTTACAGAGCAGATAACATGTCATTGCTATTGTAGTAGGTTGGTTTTTCTGCTAACCCTTGAACCCTAGAGAGGATACAGCATTCAGACATCATGAGGTTTGAGTCCACCTTAAAAGCTTTTATAGAACTTGCCAGAATTGAACACTTCCACTATAAACCAGCTCATCTCGGTGGTTCCTAGACTAGTATTTGGCAGGTACCTATATGAAAGCATGCAGATTGTTGACAGCCATATGTCCGATGTACAAGTACAACAGGAACTCCATTTGAACAGGTTCACAGTCTGTCCCATGGTGTCTTTTAACAGGCTGTGAATCACTTCCCCCATCTCATGATCAGTTTTAGGGGAGAAAAAGCAAGTCTCGGATGGTTAGAGGTGTCTTTGGTATTGCCCCGACCCTTTGAAGAGGGTCACCCAGTTCTTCAGGCTCCATACAAGAACAACAGTATTTATTTTTGCTCACATTGCTTCAGTTAGAGTCCTTTCCCACCCTTTCACGCTTGTGCGGCCAATGGAATCAATAACCTGGACCAAGAGACAAGGATAAAAGTAACTCTAGCACATTTCCACAGCAGAAAATCAGACAGCATTTCAACACAAATGCAATACAGATCTGGTTTAGTGTCACAAATGAAACAGGCTAAAGCTACAAAATATAAGCTTGATCTGTTCCCAACATGTGAGAAATGTGCAACCCAGCATGTGATTTGAATAACTGGTTGTGTAATGCTCAGAGTACATACTCTCTTGCACAAACAGGGTTGCGTAATGTACATGTAGACGCCGTTCCCTTCTCAGAGCAGGTGGCCTATCTGTGTTTGCTCACACACACTGTATAAGGAGACCGTGATGCAATGCAAAAATTTCACACATTAATTGGGGTATGATACCGGAAGATGGACAAGGTGTTCCCAGTATTCCTTGTACATCCAAGGGAAAAGAGGTTGTCTGAAACTATAGCAGTCATAAACAAACAAGCTCTTCCTTCTATATTTTCGAGTTGAGCGTGTGTGGGATTGGAGGTGCGGTGGCACTCTATTTCTGGTTCCACTCAGTCTCTTCCCTGTTTGCGCTCTCTTTCTTGTTCTATCTGTTCTCTCTAGAGAGGTAGAGAGGTCTGGGAGAGCTAGAGGCAGTAAAAGTGTCACCATGTAATGAATGGGCCCCTGATGGAGGGAGAGAAAGAGAGTTGGGGGGGAGGCGGAAGAGGAGAGACTGGTTGTTATTTGTCTGAGATTGAGGGAGGATAGCTAATGATGTGAGGCATGTAAACTTGAAGTGGCACTAAACCATTTGTGTATGTGTGGGAACCGGTGGGACCGCCCCGATCCTAGATAACGGGAGATAAAGTGGGAACACAGATGTAGTGTTTCTGGGCCAGCCAGGTGTCATATACTGTATTGTTTGCAAATAGCTGAACATAGATAGGAAAGCTTCCAGTTGTGCAGTCTCAACAAGGGTACCACTCAACAAGGTCTTATCCAGGGGGCACTGGAACTAGAGGGATTCTTGTAGGACACATCCCCGATGTCTGATATTATGTTTAATGCCTCAGTTGGCTTGCATTGAAGCACATTTCAAACAGATAAAGGTGCCAGCTTATCCCTACCATAAAAAAGAATCTGATCAGAGCATCTGTGCACAGATCTACTTGGAGGAGCAGATCTGTGCTACATCTTTGCGTTGATTTCCATCTCCTACCAACCTCTCGACTATCTATGATCTATCGAGGTTACAATAGCAAGTTATGGGAGAATCTCAACTCTTCATCGCAGCCACATAGAGCCACCCTTAAACACTTGGCCAAGATTGACAATCGCCTGACCAATAAAAAGGACACACAAGATTTCTAAATGCGTCTTAAATGCACCCAGAACAAACAAAACTCAATAATAACATGCGCTACATGATGTTGACAGTGTGCCACAGGTGACAGGGCATCTGAGCTTTCTGCCGCAGGGTCTTCTGGAAAACTGTTGGCTCCATGTTGGCTTACATCCTCTGCTCAAGCCTCTCTACCTTCGGGGAAGTCTGGGTGGCCATCATTTGGGTTTTATGACCCTTTTCTGCCTCCCCAGCAGGAGGAGCAAATGCTCAGCTGGGTCTAGGCAGACGCTGGTGATATTGTTCTCCTCAAGGCATAGATTCACATATAATAAAAACAAAAGCTTTACCTCTAGAGTTGTGCCAAGTTTGGTCCCAATGAAATACTAGTTGTTATTCAGATTCAAAAGAGTTTATTTGCCAAATATGCAACTAGACTACAGGGCTAAGCTATTTGGAAACTAGTCATTGGTTGGGAGTCTAGAGAATAAGCATCCTTTGATAAAAGTTTGATTGAGTGTGTTCAGCTCAGGTCAGCAGTGCCTAGAAAGATAGTCAGGCTAAGATGGACAGGTAAGTAGAGGTCAATCCCAAAAAGATCTTATCCTACAAGTCAGAGATCAAGAAGACTCCTTTAAAGTAAAACACTTGTGTAATCCAAGCTTTCTTTTCCCAAATCCTAGAGAGACACTGTGTGAAAACCTGCAAAAATGATCTCAACTGCTTCTATAACTATGTTCTGCCAAGAAGGCCTTTGTGTCTGAAGCACTGGAAGATTCATGAGTGGATGTTTTTCTTGTTTCTTCAACAGAGCCTTATTGATCATTGTATTGGAATCATTTGATAGTTAATCAATGTTTTTTTTTCTTTCAGCACACCAGGCAAGTGCACCATTTTTCAAAGGCAGGCCTTGATCCTGGAAACAAAAAAATTATACGCACTAACTCACCTCAGTGCACTCAATCTAGCTTGAATCATATTTCACAGTAACATACATACAACTACCAAAAAAAGTATTTTTTAAACATGCCAACATAGTGATTTCATTTGGATATGTACCATGACATACAGCTTTTTTCTACATTTACCATAGTACTACTATTTTTTGAACATTCTTTTTTTTCCCATCAAGCTTCGGGTTATTTATTTATTTTTTGTCTCCTCTCTGTGTCTAACTTGAAATAACTGTCTAGTTGTGGTACATACCATCTATGCAGCAACAACACAAATACACCCAGATTTCCGAGGCAAACCGTAGTGTAAAGAACTTCAGAGTTACCGATATGCTGATAAGCATTATACGGTCTTGTCCAGGGCAGGCCAGTGTAGTGATGCAAGACAAAAGGTGACTTTCAGAGGTAAACGGATCTCCCATTGACCCCCAGTATATGTCTGCATCACTTCCTGTATGTACAGCTCTGGCTGTAACCAAAAGCCTTTCCCTGAACACTCACAATATATCCGCTTAATCTACCCCCATTTACAACGACACACGCAATCTGTATCACTCTCCCGTTCCCTCTGCCTGTTTAAATAGGGGAAGAGAGGCAGTATGACATCATGTCCTGTAACAAAACCATCATTGCAGCTGATAGTCTGCCACTGCATGCCTCCTCTCTGACCTGTTCACTTCAATTCTGACCATTCTGACACATCCGGTCCTGCTCCAGGATGGGCGGCACATCTGTGAAAAGCGCAGACAGGCTGGAGAGCTGTACCACATGCCAGGTGTTTAATATCAGCACTGCGTGGTGCAATTACCCCGCAGAAATGAGCTTTTAATTCCGTTTTATTGGTTCAATATTGCTTCTGGTGTTTAGGTTTTTAAACATTATAATTAGTTTTGAAAAGATTGGTCGACCTCATTCTATTCCACAATACCCCATGGCTTTAAACAATGCTCAGCGGTGGCATGGATGCAGGTTTCTGGAACCGCCTGGGTTGCGGTGAAACACGATTTTAATAGCGCAGGAGAGCTTTGAGACAGCTGGCTAGAGAAGCACTTATTGGTGAATATGGAGAATTAATGCTGCTAAAAATATAAAAAGAATATGATTTTAGT